TATACCAATGTCAGTAATGATGCTTTCAAATACCATATTTGCCTGAGGATCAAGGCCATTTTGAAAAATTAAAATTATATATTGTTCCTCCGAATCTGAAAAGAAATAAATATAACCATAAGACTAAAAGAATAAAGTAAATAGATAATTTAAAGAGTAACAACTAATTATTCTGAAGACTAAGATCATCAGAAGTCCTGGAATAAACATCCAAAAATCAATGTTTAAGATACAATAATACTGAAATAAAGATCAGTGTTACCAATGTCACTTAAAGTTACCAAAAGAAAGGAACTGGTATTATTTTAGTAACAGCTCAAGAACAAGTCTACTGAGCTGGGCTTKTAACTCAGTGGTAGAGTGCTTGCTTAGCATGCGTAAAGCACTGGGTTTGATTCTCAGCATCACATATAAATAAATAAGATAAAGGTCCATCAACAACTAAATAAGTATTTATAAGAACAAGTCTACTAATGCATGTAACGAATATACCTATTTACAGTCTTAAATATGTACCAGGTAACATTTTTGTCAGATACAAATAGGAAAGTGCTAAGCAAACTAGTAGTATATCTACTGAATTTAATTGCAAAACTGCTGTTCACTAATGTGTCAACTTTTGCAGTTTTTTTTTTTAGGTTCTTTAAAAAAAAACATTTAATTTTTACTTATAGGTGAACACAATATCTTTATTTTTTAAATTTTTCATGTGGTRCTGAGGATGAAACTCAGAGCTTCATGCATGCTAGGTGAGTACTCTACCTCTTAGCCACAACTCCAGCCCCAACTTTTGCAGTTTTAATAGTAGCTATAAGTTACTAATTATTAAGATAAAATGGCAATTACTGCTGAAAAGTATTTATTTTGTAAGCAATCAGGCTATGACATAAATGTTAGAGGTGAAGGGCAACCAAYTAGAGAATTAGATCTATTTATTGTAAAGAATGAAGACCCCAGTATAACTCCACATCATGTGCAACCACAAGAATGGAAAGTTATACTCCAGGTATGTATAATATGTCAAAATACACTCTACTGTCATTTTTAATTAAGAACAACAACAGCAACAAAAAATAAAAACCTTTTCTATGAACTTGAAAACTTTCTATTCAAGCCTATTTTTATGGATTCTGATTTAYAGTTCAACAAATCGATTTTACTTAGTGTTAAAAAATACACATCTTTTGAATTTTAACTCATTTTTAAAATTTCCTCAATGGGTACACTTGGATTTTTATCTTCAGCTCTTCCACTTTGAGTGAGATTTTCCTCAACTACAAAATAAAGGCAGTAATATCTGTTTTACAAGGTAGCCACTGTATTATATTCTAATAAAGGAAATTAGTGCACTGAGAAATATTGCTTCATTAGGCCTTCATTCTGTACGAATCATAAAGTCTTCCACTTTCTAGTGCATGCACATTCTGCTATTCAACCGATTATGTCTTAAACTCTGTTCCACATAACTTACTTGATAACTTATTTATTCCTTTACAATCATTCCGAATTTTATCCTCCTTATTCATTTGCAATTGCATGCTCAGTTTTTGATAAACTGTTGGTATT